GGTGTAGTAGCAAGCAGAGCCAGCTCTGGGGGTGTGGGAAGCAAGCCTGGGGCAAATCAGCCTGCGTGGGGCCCCTTTAACACTGCGGGGGCCATGGTACCCCTGCAAAGGTGGGGGTGGGAGGGGTCCTCTATGCTGCTTCTGAGCTGCCAGCTCCAGGCAGGCCCTGCAAAAGAGGCTGTGGCCCCTCTGCCCAGCTCCTCAGTTCCTTCCCCCTCCTCCCCCCCCCCCCCCCCCCCCACGCGGCCTGTCTCTCACCCACTGACTCCTCAATTTACCAAAATGTGGGGCCTGGGGCAGTTGCCCTGATTCACTGTATCCTAGGGATGGCTCTAGTAGGAGGGTAACAGCCACCTACTGTGTTTACTTCTCTTGGGGTGCATCTACACGTGCAGTTTGTGCCAGAGTTTATCCTGTCACCTTAATGGCACGTGGTAGATACTCAAACTACTGTGGGCCAAGGTGCATGTGCAGATGCTAGCCTGTGCAAACTGCTGACTGCAGCAGTTTGAGCTGGGACAGAGCAGTCCTGGGCTGGCAGAGGGTCTGGGGTGGTCAATCCCAGGCTCTGGGAGGCAGAGGGGCTGGCTGGGGCACATGAGTGCACCAGCATGTGGAGCCCCGTGACTGGGCAGCCGGGAGGGGTCTGATTCATTGCTGCTTGGGATGATTAGATGCAACATATACTGTACACCCAGGTCAGTTTACCCATGTGTTTAGGTGCAGTTATTTTCACCTCCATAAAGATAGTACTGTCCCTGATAGTACTATCTTATGATGGTGCATATTATTTTGCTGCGATCTAATAGAATTGCATATGGAGATTTGTGATGTTTTGCATCACAGCAAATTAGTTTAGTGCACAGGTAAGTGCATGTGTAGATGCACTCTTAGTGTAGCTGTTTGTCTCTGCCCATTGTTAGCCTGGTGTTACTTAACATCAGTATACAAAAACATTGTAGATTACCCTGGAGTATGTGCAGAGCCGTCCCTAGGGGTGTGTGGGGCCCAGGGCATATCAGCTTGTGTGGGGGCAGAGGTGGCGAGCAACCAGACCGTGGAGCTGGCGGCTGGAATGGAGTCTGTATGGCATGTCCACGGGGCTACCCAAAGCACGGGGCCTGGGGCAGAGGTGGCGAGCAGCCAGACGGTGGAGCTGGCGGCTGCAATGGAGTCTGTATGGCATGTCCATGGGGCTACCCAGAGCACGGGGCCTGGGGCAGCTGCCCCACTCGCCCACCGCTAGGGATGGCTCCGAGTATGTGATAGTCTGTCCATGCCCTGAATTTTTAAATAATTAAAGCTTAGCTGCTTTTGGAAACCTTTTCTTGGAGGGCAATTAATGGTTTGGCTGTATGAACAAAAATGGTGCTAAGGTTACTCTTTGTTATGTTTTACACAGATGGGTCTAGATGGACTCCAGCAGGATTACATAAGAAAAGCAGAGTATCCCTTCAGCTCGGAGCAGAAATGGATGGCTGTTAAGTGTGTGCACAGAACACAACAGGTAGACCTTCCCAATGGCTCTCTTCAATTGTGCCAGCTGTTGTGTAACATTGTGCAGCACATCTTGGGCTCAGATCAAGTGCATAGTTTCCTTGTTTTACATTAAGGGCTGTTTTCTGAAGGTAGTAATGAAGTGCACAGAGCTGTGCATTTGGAAGAGGAACAGTGACTGTGGACAGAAGTTGCATTTACAGAACTATGAAGTCAAAGGGATAGGCCTGCACAACACGTGTAGCACTACAAAAATAGCACATGCTCTGTAGTGCTACATTTTGTGGAGCCCTGTGTAACATCTATTTAGTTGCATGTAGTGCTACAGCAGGTCTGTTGTTCTCCTGGCATCCCACAGTGCTCCATGGCGGGGATTAAGGCAGAACCACTTGCTCCTTAGTACCCTGCTTGGGAGCAGAGCTTCAGCCCAGCCAGGAAAGCAGGCTGTGGCTCTGTTTGCCACAGAAAGCTGTCTCAGAGCCCAGTGGCAGAAATGGCAACTGCTTCTGGGGCAGTGGGGACCACTGGTCCTGTGGCAGGGGAGACAGAAAGCTGTCAACACACTGCCACCCTGATCGCTGGGGAGGGCAGCAAGCTGTCAGACTGAGGACAGTAGTCTACTCATGGACAGCTCACTACAGCAGGCTTACAGTCTTCCCAGTGTTCCCCTGTCTCCCAGCAGAGAACATATCTTTGCAATGCCTTTGCAGTACTTCAGCCAGGGGCTGTGAACATATGAATGCCCCACATAACTCTGTTTTTTGTAGCTGGGGCGCATGCAGCCTTACAGATGAACATCTGTCCATGGCCAAGGTTTCATTTTCAGGCTCTCAAATATAGAACCATAAGTTTTTGGTTTTTATAAAGCATACTGTGAAATTCTTATAAACATTCTGATATCCCAAGCCTTGCGTGTAAACTTGTCAGTGTTAGATTCCCCCTCCCTCAAAAATCTCATGAAATTCTGACAATATTCTGCTGCTAGAGGACTGTAGATATTTATGTGCCAATATTTTTTTCTTAGGACAAACCAGAGGTTTGTTTTATGAAGGGTGCTTATGAACAAGTGATTAGGTACTGTACAACATATAACTGCAAAGGACAGACCCTGCCTCTCACCCAACAACAGAGAGAGCAGTATCAGCAAGAGAAGACATCTATGGGCTCTGCAGGACTTAGGGGTAAGATTTCTTCAGAGTAGTTAGTCTTTGCACCATAAGAATAGTTCTTTTGAATGTATTGTTTGACTTGTTTGTTCAAACTAACAGAGGACTTGAAACCAATCTTTTTCTCAGTTTTCATTGTGTTCACCAATTTATCTTCAAGTTAAGAGTGGAAATGAAATTGGCTTAAGGTTTAAATAGCATGATTGACTTGAGAATGTCAACACTGTATTGCAATTCTCATCCTGTCTGATCACCCAAGAGATTTCTCACCATTTCTACCTATTACATTTTACTACATGAACTGCTTTATTATGGGTATTCTGGAAATAGTCATGACCTCTCCATTTTTTTTCTGTTTTGCCTTGTCTCAGTTTTAAGGTTTAGAGAGGACTAGTTATGACAACCTTCTGAGAGAGGCAGCACCATTAAATGTTTAGAAGGTATTGGTAGTTATGCAGCTGAGTGCCTCGTAGGGA